GTTTGATTTATTTTGGCTCTACTGTATATAACTCTAAATTTGTATTAAAGGCTGTTTTTTCGCTTGTGTGTCTTTTTTACAATCTATCATACTGTGTTGTTTTTAAAGGATATTACTTCTTGACATCTATAATAAGCATCAGTCATGAGGAGAATGTTCACACTGAGGTAAGTATAATATTTACACGTGTAAGTATAGCCATCATTTATATAACATAATACAAACTTATATCTAATATCACAAAGGCGTTATCGTATTATCGATGACGTCATGATGTTATCATTGACGTCACAATTGCAACTTTGTTAATATATGAAGATGGAAATGAAATGTTTCTTTCTTCATGAACTTTTATATTTACTGGACACTAAGAACACTATTCTAGTTAATTATCGGTATGTATTTGACATGTTCTTATCTGTCGCTTTTGATATTTATTTCGAACAATTTTGATTTCCTCACTCATCTCCTAGGTTTCAATAATTTAGTGTCACAGAAGAGTTCTATAGAAGGACAATGTATGATGCAGGTTAATTCATTCTTTGACTCTACTGTATCTAATTCTAAATTTACAATAAAAGGTGCTATTCACTTGTGTTTATTTTGTACACTCTTTAACAGCTGTATATATCTGTTCTATAATATTTTCCAGTACTGTACATAATCATTATTATGTTTACCCTTTATATAAATTTCTCTTTGATATACGCTCAATGTGAATAACATCGTCCAGTTTAAGATATAGCCACAATCAACGGCTAAGTTTAAAAGTAGGGTTGTGCTGTGTTGTAACTCCAACTCTAGTTTATACCTCAATAACCATGTTAAAGCATTCCATTGTTTCTATTTATAATAAGGTTTCTTTATAAAGGAATTACACGTGTTATTATGGTATAAACATTTATATTAAATCATGTGTTATAATGGTATCTTCACACATGTTAAAATCACACGTGTTATATTAATCACACATGTTATATTGTGTCTGTTATAGATTGATATCATGGTATCACACGTGTTATATTTACACTGTTCTTGTATCACACATATATATGGTATCAAAAATGTTATATTGGTTATGGTTAAATAAATACATGTGTTAATGACAGTTAAACTCAATAACCATGTTAAAGCATTCCATTGTTTCTATTTATAATAAGGTTTCTTTATAAAGGAATTACACGTGTTATTATGGTATCAAACATGTTATATTGGTATCACATGTGTTATAATGGTATCACACATGTTATTATGGTATCACACGTGTTATATTGGTATCACACATGTTATATTGGTATCACATGTGTTATAATGGTATCACATGTGTTATTATGGTATCACACGTGTTATTATGGTATCACACGTGTTATTATGGTATCACACATGTTATATTGGTATCACATGTGTTATAATGGTATCACATGTGTTATCATGGTATCATACATGTTATAAGTATATCACACGTGTTACCATGGTATCACACGTGTAATAATGGTATCACACATGTTATAATGATATCATACATGTGATAATGGTATCACACGTGTTATAATGGTATCGCACGTGTTTTAATGGTATCACACATGTTATAATGATAGCGTACGTTATAATGGTATTACACATGTTATAATGATATCATACATGTTATAATGGTATCACACATGTTATAATGGTATTACACATGTTATAATGGTATCATACATGTTATAATGATAGCAAACATGTTATAATGGTATCACACATGTTATAATGATATCATACATGTTATAATGGTATCACACATGTTATAATGATATCATACATGTTACCATGGTATCACACATGTTATAATGATATCATACATGTTATAATGGTATCACACATGTTACCATGGTATCACACGTTATAATAGTATTACACGTATTATAATGATATCACACGTTATAATGGTATTACGTATGTTATAATGATATCACACACGTTACAATGATATCACACGTGTTATTATGGTATTACAAACGATATTATGGTATCATATATATTATGATATTTGGCAACACCTGAGTCAAGGCAGTTGATTTTTTTTTAATTTATCCCCATCCAAAGAAAACTTACAGAAATGATATACAAATGACTGGAATTTTATATTTTCCATGAATTTCTACGGAAATCATCACCTAGGTATATTGTCTACCTTTTTGTGAAGTTGACAAAGATGATGCTTCTGTTAATAATTGGATGTAAATCAATCAAGAATGAAATCAACATACATTCCCCTTTCTCTTTATAGTTAAGTCAGAAACCGTCAGGTTCCGTGGGCCACTTGTTTGAAGACCTTTATGGACTGAACATTTAAAACATTTGATTGATTTCACTTTACAGAAACCTTCGCCTAAAGCTAACTTGTTAAAGAAAGCACGACCAGCCGATTGGTTTAGACTCTAGACTGTAATTCCTTTAAAGGGGGTGTTTAGTTCGGTTTGTTTTCATTGCTATTCAATTACGGTCATTGTTGATCAATCTAGGTAATACAAGGCGCTTAGTTCCGATAAGGATAAACATGAAAATGGCGATGGATGCTTACTTTTCCATTGGCAGACACAGTTCAATCAGCATCCGGAAGAGAAATGTGATGATGCTCTGTATTATAATGGTGATGCTATGGACACTACACTCGCTATCGTTTGTGGAGGAGGGTGAGACGGAGAAACATGTACAAGACGAAGAAGAAGCCTACATTAGAGATCTTTGGGACTTTAATGTTGTTCCCGACACGTATGGACAAATACAAATGGTGGACGATTCGGTAATGCTGTTTTTTATTTTCTAATAAGTATCGTATGAACACGAGGTAGTTTTAGAAGTCACTTTGTAAAGATTCAGAGATAAGAATTTAAATCTTGATATCTGTTTGAATGTCTAGGTTGACAGGTCGTGCGAGTTGTATATATATATACTAAATGTTTATATATAGAATCTAGTAAGTAATATCGACGGTATGGTCCAATATTGGTACTGGGTCATAACAAACTAATGTGCGTTGGATGTGTATTACTGAAATAGATATATGATCAATGAATTACTAACGACAGTACGGACAAGCGAATTGTCCAATTTTCAAGTCAACTTGCCCCTTTATCAAAACACAAATATTACATAAGTTACATAACATCGAACATAAAACATATACAAAGTTAAGAAGTTAAATAGAGAGCAGTGGTGTAAAATTTAGGTGTCTCGATAATCCCTTCGGCCATTGGATGCCGAAGGCCCTTTATAAGGGACAAAAAAACATCCTAAGTTGTTGTATGGAAGATGGTGATTTAAATTTAAACTATCAAAAATTGTTTTATATCAACCTTGGTATGTATAAATTCTATATATTGCAGACGTTCAAATTATATGAAGGATTTCACTTCCGTGTCAAATATGACAGAACAAATACCACATGACTGGAATCCCTTTTATTGCTTGGGCCCTGTTTATCTAAAATACCGTAAATACATGTAATGTGAACCAATCTTGATAGTTGTAATCGAAACTTGTCTTACCTTTTCAGTGAGATGGGAATATATATAGAAGATAACTGAAAACACAGCCCAATCAAACGACATAGACAAGGAGCACGTTCTATCTGTTTAAAATGTTAATAGTCAGTTATAAACTATTGCTGCATGTACAATAGAAAAATGTTTTTGTTTTTTTTTTAATTGTAGCTGGTGTAGGTATGTATTGTGATATGTACAATATTGTACATCATTTTTTCTGTCGGAAGTTTGCGTATTACTGGCGTGTGTGGTATTGTGAGATGCACATTACATGTATATATGCGTCCAATATTTCCATGTCAGAAATTTTCGCGCAACTGATTTAGGTATGAATTGTGATATACAGTAGATCTGTGTTCACTAGGGCAGAAGAACACACTACATTCAAAATACATTAATATGCTTTTTTTGCATGGTTATAGTGTTTACGTTAGCTTAGATCAAAGCTTTAAACTTGTAGAAAACACATTTTTAGTTGTCTATCAGAGCGAAAAATTTCCTGCCTAACCACTTGACAATATGGATTTAAATGACACACCATGTTTATTCGCGCCCCTATAATCATATTTCTAGAACGTGGTCTTTATTTACCAATATCCGTGTATGTGCAATTCTGTCAGAGACATTTGTGTGAATGGAGTTTAGTAACCTGGCTTAGCCATTGGCAATATTTGTGTGTAAAGAATAACGTTTAAATAGTGTCCCGTATCAAATGCATAATGTATGTTTACAGAATCACAAAAACTATACAAGACACGAATCCTGGACCGGCTATTAAACACAAACAGTTTAAGGCACGAAAGAAATTCTGTAGGATGTTGTTTAATAGAGGCCATCGATCACCAATCATGTTTGATAGAGAATTTCAATAGTATACAAAAAGCAAAGGTATGGGAATGGGGTGGGAGGGGGAAGCGACTCGTAAAACACCAATTCAAGGAATTAGCAAATTTTAGAACCAAGACTGAATAATTAGAAGTATCAATTTCTTTATCATATATCTATATAGAAAAAAACAAACGTTACAGCAGTTTCATTTTAACCACTAAATGTTTCCTACATTAGACCACGGACTTATATACACATAAGTCCGTGATTAGACCTAGCTTATCCCTAATCTTGAAAATATTCCAGTTTCCCTCCCTCCTTTGCTCCAGAAATGGATTCGACCAGGTATTATAGTTTTATTTCCGATCTACAGAATAAATGATTATAATGTATGTCGACACAATCAATTTTGATTTTTTGTTGTTGAAGAGAATTTTCACTTTTTTAAATGCTGTGTTGAGATACATTCTGATCTCCCAGAGTTACCGTTGCTGCAATAACAATCAATTGTTCTATTCAAATGCATGATCAAATTCTAGATCTTCTCGACGGTTTATTTATTTTAAACCAAATCCAGGAGTTTCTTTATTTGATATACTTCCTTGGCCAAATTTAGATGATTTCTTTGTAAATATAGGACATAGAGTCAAACGATGAGAAATTAGCCCATGAAATAAATGGCTATAGTTCACACCTGTCCAGTAAACCACAGGGGTTCTCGGTATGGAGTTTACTGGCGCGTCCTTCGAAATGTTATGTTTTTATTCAACAGATATTGTTAAACTGAATTATAACGCTGATTTTTTTTATAATAATCATTGAAGATGGTTATTTTTTGTTTGTGGTTTTAAACATGGATATTTATGCTATCACGGATTCAAATTCGAAATAAGTCCGACATGATACGATGTGTAACCTCTATGTAGGCTACAGCAGATACCTATATAACCATGACTGTACGGTCTATGAGTAAAATGGTTCTTACGAAGTCTATATTAGTAATTTGATGAAATAACTCATCCATGACTGGTCCTATTCTACCTGTGCGCTCAACGTGCCTACGATTCTATGAACCCTAATGGGACGTAACCCATGATATCCCGTAGAAATAGCTGCATATGTGCCTTTTGTTTCGAGCGTGTCAACAGATTGGGGCCGAGAATAGAGAGATCTATGCGCCAGATAATTATAACTGGCTGTGTTTAGAACCATCATATACTTAATGAAAAATTCTGCATTTACGTAATCTTCAAAAACATTTTTGTCGTTCTCAATAGATTGTAATGATTCCTGAGAGTTGGCAGCTAAAGATGATGGCGTTACCACGACTCGCGGAATTATATAAAAGGTGAGTTTAGGATATGTCAAATAATATTTCTGGATTTAGACTGAACACTTACAAACTTTAATAACGAAAGATGATATATTTTGATTAACTTTTACAGAAACATGAATAATCTTCAGATATTCTGTCCAGTCAAAGTTGTTTTTGGCGGAACCCATGACGGCTGGACCGTGTGTTCAACAGAGCAGCGATACAAGTGTGTCGCTTACCTCATCACGTAAGTTCATTATCGTAGAGAAATAAGGGCGTGGCTCCGATCTGGTTCCTGTCCATATTCACACGGAAATCATAACAACAAACAACACTATGACAACCGTAACCGTAAGAATGTTAATACTAGTTTATCATTGTCTTAACTCAACGACCTCTTAACAGATTTGGTTCATAGCTACTCTATAGTATCATAATATTATGTACTAATCCGAATACGTTCAGACATTTTTCCTGTTTGAGTCATTGATTTATAGCATTTTTTCTCTTCCAGGAGTAATCCAGGACCAAGTCGATTTTTGTCAGAACTCCGCTCCGTACGGGGATGTCATGTCTTCAAGATAGATCAAAAGTAAGAGCCGTAAGCGGCGTAGCGGCGTAGAACGCGAGGTTGGGGACAGGGGGGAGGCAATTGCCCCCTCACTTTTGCCCCCCACCCCACCCCCAATTTTTTCATTTAAACTTTTAAAAAGGGATCAATTTCTTCATTTTACTAAATAAAAGATTCACACAGAATTTTATTAAATTAATATTGCAAATTCAATTTTCAAAACGTTAGAAAAAATCCAGAGAATCAACTTTTTTCACCATCTGGGTCATTCCAGTGGCGTAGAAAGCGGAAACCGGGGGGGGGGGGGTGTGTGTGGGCAATTGCCCCCTCACTTTTTGACAACTTCCTACGCCACTGCCACTGCCATGTAAACCATGGATAGTGGCTTCTAAGTTGATCTTCGAGTGATCTAATTTCCAACAAAGAATATTTATGGTTACCATCTTGATCTCACAGTAAAAAGTCCCTTTGCACTATGAATTTAGCTGTGTTCGACGGTTATTAATATACCCGTATACCCGATGATTTCGTTATTGACATAGTTTTGGTTTAAGACCGTGACGATACTTAAAGGGTTGACTTAAATTTAAATTTTGTCTTTGTTCTCCTGTTCATATTTTGCCCTCTTTCCATGAATATGATAAATACTATGTTTAAGTTTTGTCATTATTATCTTGTTGTTTTTACCGAACAACACACGAGCATGATTATAAAATACAGAATGTAGTGGGCGTCATAGCAACAGTATCAGTGATAGTATACTACACACAAATTTGCATTTTCATTCCGGCAGTTATGTTTACTCTCAAATAGCAAGGAAAGTTTAATTCAACAAACTGTTTCCCCTGTGTTAAGTAATTGCTTGATAGGTTATATCATTGACTGGCTACCTTTTCCTTCAGGGGTAAATGTTAATTGTATACCATTCAGGAAAGCACGTTCATGTTCGAATAAACATTGCGAGATCACTATAGATTAGAAATACCCGAAACTTCCAATGCGTTATGGAGTGCCATTGTTGTGAGTGTTAAACTTTGGTGTAATTTGAACTCTCTGTGACAGGACTGTCGGTGGTAGGTGTCGACTGTCGGTGTGTGCTTAATGCTTTAAATAAAGGAGCATCATCACATTGCTCTCAGGTATATAAAAGGATTTAATAGGATATATTATGGATATAGTTGTCAACTTTTAACTGGCACTAAAGAAAGTCAAACTCACACATAATAAAATCACTTGTATCACAATAAAACATGATATTATATATAGTTACATCTATATTCAGGAACTGTTCAGAAATGACACTACGTCACATCAGGAAAGAGGTAAGTCATATTTTTACTGAATAGTGTTATATTATGATACAAGTACGGTCGAACCTCATTTTCTCGAAGTCGACGGGACAGTGGGAAAACTTCGAGTTATTCGAATGTTTCTTGGGAAATCTGGTAGGGACCGACGGAGTCTTCGTGTTATATGCGTTCGCGGTAACGAGGTTTGACTATGCAGTGATACGTTACAGAAATTTGTGGTTCGGTAAATATGTCTACTCCTTGCAACAACGATATATAAACCGCGGACTACAAATGCTTGGATAAACCTTATGGCATACTTTTTTGCACAAGTAAATTAAATTTAAAGAATTGTGTTACAATACAGTCGAACCTTGTAATCTAGAACTCGTATAACGCGACGATCCCGTTTAATTCGAAATATTCCGTCGGTCCTGACCAAATTTTATACAAAACATTCGAACTCACTAGAATCGAAGACTCGGATAACGAAAAGTTTTCCCTCGGTCTCACAGACTTCGAGATAATGAAATATTTTCTGCTGGATATGTAACTTTAAATGCTATCACGTTAAGATAGAAATACATTTTAAAAAATACTTTTTGAATACAATATATTGAATGAGACTTTAAATCTAAACAAGTTCATATTGTAATCAATATTGTTTTCCCTCCAATTCAAATAGCACAGAGTCATTGACATATTTGCCATTGACGTTGACGACTCAGAAGACATTTTGTTGGAGAGAATAATATCTCTAGGTGTGATAGATCGAGTGAAACAACTGTTAGTAACGTTACATGGTGACACGGAGGGTTTACTCAACAGTAGACAGTACCAGGATAAGCTTATTATACAGAGGGAGCTACTTCACCGAGGATTTCGAATATTCCATCGCACACGGAACACTCAGTGCACACATTGTGATAAAACTCCAAGACCTGGGTGTGTAACTCTCAATATGGTAAGTGTTTGTAACGCAACGTATCATCTTTTTGTTTGTTTATATATCTATATTCACATATATCGAAGACATTTGTCAATCTTTTGAAAAAGACCGTATGATAGTTACCAGATATTTGAGATGAGGTGACGTTGCTCATATATCTTGACACAATTCGATAAATTTCGTAGTTTCATAACTGATTACTTTTAGAACAGCTTCTAGTACGTGTACAGCACGAGTTGTTTGTTCATTCCTTTGAGGTTGCGGGTTGTAGGAGCTGCTAGTGAACTTTAGTCCTCGAAGTTTGCCGCAATCTGCTGGTCTCGTTTGGTCTTCGGCACAGTTCAGAATATATGCCGTGATAGAGTTGGTAACGCTGTAGAACTTCAATGTAAATTCCATGATACAGTTGTTTTTTTTTCCGTTCAACAGATGATGCCATCACAAGTGAAAGCCCCTATTGTGGTACCGTCGCGGTACTATCTTGGTAACCTTACCTCGAACCAACTTAATCGGTTTTATCACAGGTAAATTCACGTAGAACCAAAATTTATTTCATTTTCACCTTGGTAGTAAACCTGCCTGATTATGTGACTTTCATGTGAAGGATTATGCTTACTTTCTCCAGTGCCCTAATTATACTATGTCCTGACCAAAGACAACTCTTTAACGCCACATATGTTCGCATATACATGTGTCGACGTTTAGACATTTTCTTGTTTACACACGTTCACGTATACATGTGTCAACGTTTACATATATTTACATTTACATACGTTCACTTTTACACGTGTCCACTTTCACATGTGTTCACGTTTACATGTTCTCACGGTAACACATTCTCAGTTTTATTTACACTGCGATGCATTCAACAATTGTATTTGGTAAGATCACTTGACTTAACAAATTCAAACTTTCTTAATTATTTGTCTGTGATTGTCAATGCGGAGAGATCAATCCTTAGGTTTTCCCGTCATTTGTCAATAAAATATAATGATGTCTGATCATAGTTTTAATTACTGATATTGAATGTGTAGATAGCTTAATCTATTTTTTCCATTCTGTTAAGATATCTATTGACGACGCAGACATTTTGTAAGAAGTTGTCCCCCATGGGTGACCTTGCCAAGAATGGCTGGGACGTGTGTGTAGACCAGCTGTACAGTCCAACTGTACCCTGCCTCGTATACTCGTTTGGGTGAGTAGCACGCAAGAATGACATATTCAGTTAGATAATTGATGGAGCATTTAAGATCATTTCATCTTGACTTTTATCCGAAATACTTGACAATATTTGTGTATTGTTTTCATTTACGGATTTATACAAAAGACACGCAAGTGAAAAGCTTCTTTTTGGCGTTATCATTCAGGATCACATTATCATAATCGAGGTTTGTTATCAAGTTTATTCGCCCATGTAATAATTTTGCTTATATGTCACGATTGTAATATCATGATTTGGCAAATGGCATTTCACATGAGATTTTATGAAACTTGTCTCAAAATTTTAATTAAATTTTACTCATTAACGCTGGCAAACATAAAACAAAACTTCAAAGAAGACTTGTCTCATTATGTCTCATATAAAATGGTAAGTCATTGAGCATACATTTTGTAAATAATTTGCAAAACTGTGAAAGATGATATTCAAAGTAGCTGTATAATTGAGCTGTAAAGTAAAGCGAGCCAAACGACTCTTGTATGGTTACAGATCAGCTGATGACTGGCCGTTCGACAATGCAATGGCGAATCATTTCGGGTGTGAGGTGCACAGTTTTGATCCAAGGTAATATAGAATGTGTATGCTGCCTTAGTACGAAATATTGAAACCAAACAAATACAGCTTTGACTCCTTCAAACGAAACCGTAACTCTAACACATGTAACAAGAGCTTAAAGCGCATTTAACCTAGAACAGAAATGAAAAAATGACAAAAGAAAAAAACCGATTTGTTTCGCAGTTCATTGGTGACATATCGCACAGTCTGACTTTGAACTCAAAGGCATTATGGTCTTCCTACAGTTATACACTATTTTTTACCTTTCTCCTATCACACAGCGGCGGATTTCTATGTATAACATTATAAAATGTGGCATTACATATTTGGGATTATCCTCCTCTCACATTTCACATCAAAGTTTAAGAAAATTGTATAGAATATATACCACAATATTCTAACATGGTTATGTTTCCTTTGGATTCAAAGAGACTCAGCCAAAACTAAAGGTTTCAGAAGAGCGACCTCTGCCAAGATACTGCAGAGAAATTATTATTATTTTATTATTCGCAGCGAACTCAATTGACATTAGAAAAAGAGGGCATATAACTCGAAATACTCGAAAACCATTTTCAATGCGACCGTCTTAACCCCGAATCTATAGTGCGGCATCTAAAATTTCGTCAAGTCATGTTCATTGTCATGGTCTGATGTAAAACTGGCGGATTACATATATGGATTATTTATTTTACGGGGTTTAAGGTCCTCGCAACAGCCAAGGTCATAGGAGTATAAAAAAAGACAGAAAGATACCAAGTGTTGAAATAGGGACAGCAGATCTATTTGGTTTCTTCAATATCCCCAGTGTTTGAAGACATGGAAACGACATCCCATCCTCAACGTCACCCCACCCAATTAGCTGCTTCCTATCATGATGCGGTGAAACACAGTAGTCAGTATTTTTGGACTTTATAATGTCCCGTTACAGAAGACACTGGGGAAACCTCCCGAAGTTGTTCGACATTTCATCGCCTATTGGACAATCCAGCGAGATATAGCGGGTCAATTCTTACCCCGTCTGCTGCAGGAGTTAGCATCTTACACTCGCGAACTAGTCATATTACATAGCATGATTTGGACACGAATTAAAGATTCTAGTCGTCACACAAAATCATATGAGGACATATCATGTAAAAAAAAAATAAGAGAAAAATCCGTAATGTTTCCTTAAGGGAGTTGAACGAGACTTCATGTTACTGCCTTTGCAACCTCACAACGTCATGTACTCAAGAACTACATGCATGCCTTGCTGTATTTATGGCATAGGTTTAGTGCAATAAAAAAATACAGATATTCACAAAATATGACATCAGCTTAACACGACTGTCGTAAAATTAAACTACCTATAGCATAAAATAATTCCACTCACAGGGTCAATTTTACATATAATTACTACTTTTTTCTGAGGTGTGTTTCTCTTGTTTCAGATACCAAAATACAAAAATTCACGACAATGATACCAGGTAATGTACTTTGTTTAATATATCTTCTAATTTTCAAACGATATTCCCGAATGATGAAGATCATGGTTTTGTTCGAAGAGTAAACTTCATCATCAAGCTGGTGTTTTGACAAACACACGGTAACAACGCGTATGAATTGAAGCTTGGTATGAATAACCAAAAATAACGTTACGTACGAGTTAGAAATTGTTTGTGTTCATGTATGTACACACAATTCACAACATTCATAATACAAATGTATCACTGTAAATAAGTTATTTTTTCGAATGGGATTTATTTTCGCGTGGAGAGACAATCGCGAATTCAAATGCTTCGCGAATATTTGTACGAAAACAATTACTGATGACATGCATGTTGATTCGGTTACAGATATCAGAGTCTTGCAGACTCCATGTATCTAATAGCTTATCATTCGAGAATTTTAAGTCATTTCTAGATCAGTATTCGCGAACAGGTAAGTTCGTGAAATAAAGAATTTACAGTAAACACTATGTACATTGTATTAGCTTATGTGTGTGATTTTACAACTTTAATATTTTACACCTTCAAATGAAAAGGATTAACGAAAAAAGTTAACGGATTGCCTTAGTTCTATAGATTATTTAAGTAACCTAAGTAACGGTGAGGAAGCAATAGTGTTGCGCCGATTTTCAGATTGTCAAATTACAATTATAACAAACATCAGTAATCATTAATGGAAAAAAAGTATTCACATCCTTTGACAGAAAGGTCTCAACCCGAAGGGGTATTCTAAAGTTTGCGAAACACCAAGTGCTTAGCAACTTTATAATCTTTATAATTATAATAATAATAAGTTATTTTTTTTCTGTTACATACCTGTTTGTAATGGAGGACCGCCGTCCACCCCGCCAGACCCCTGTTCTGTCTCGGTCAAGGAGAAGAGTCAGGAGCCCTTCTTCTTGCCCCCAGGAGGTTTCGTGCCCTTCTTACCTTTCCCCTTATTGCCCTTGAAGCGTGGCTGTGATTTGGGCTGGGCAGAAGCCTGCCCAGCCGAAAACTTAGCCCTCTTCTTGGGAGGCGCTGACCCCTGCGAGGCGCTGGCCTTCTCGGAACGAAACCTCTTCACCAAGAGTGCTGAGGCGACCGAGTCCTCCTTCATATCCTTCTGGACAGAAGGGAGAGCTCCCCCGAACAAGGTAGAGCCAGAGAAGGGGGCAGTCAATAGACGGGAAAGATAAGGTTCCTCGACTGGGCGATTTTTCAAGACTGAAAATCGCCTAGCCAACACGATGTTGGCGAGCAGGGAGACCTGTAAGGCCGCCGATGCCCTCAACGCCGCGTTCAGGGCAGCTGTGAGCCTGTCCTGAATGTCGGCCTGTTCCGTCTCTGGTACCCGACCCTCAGGCAAGTCAGATACTTTGTATAGACTCACTGTCAGGACGTCTATATAAGACAGAACTTGGATGGAAAGGCGCAACATCCTCTCCATCCTGTGGTGCTCTCTAGCCTCGAGCACCACCTGGTCCACCGATTTGCCGGGCCAGGCAGCCAGCTCCCTCGACTCCAGCTGTGCTGGTTAAGGGGCCAGTTGCCCGTCATGTGTGGCGTAGACAGCGGTAGAAGCCTCTGACAAATCCCCAACACCGAGCTGCAGACCGGTAAACCTTGGGGTGCGGGTAGATGAAGAATTCTTCTCTAAAACCCGTGCTCGGGCGGTGGCCAGAGCCGAAGACACAATGGTGCCTTCTGGCAGAGTCCGATCAGTTCGAACGGAAGCCCGAGGAGCCACCAAAGAACCTAGAAGGGTGGTGGATTCAGGCACCGACGATGCAGTAGGCGGTGGGCGTACCTCCGACCCCAGAATCCGAGAGATGTCGGCCCGTAGGGCCCGCATCCCCGAAAGAACATGCTGAGCCTCGGTTTCAGCAATCTCGGAGCCCCCTACCTCCTGGGAACCCTCCTGGTCGGAAGGGTCATCTTCAGATGACTCGGACGGATCAATTGCCGAGCACCCAGGAGACAGATGGATAACATCGTCATCCTCTGCCAAGCCCATGCCCTCAGCGTCCATCTCCTCCTCGCTAGCGACAGAACTCGCCCTGGGAGGAACAGGGGCCGCCAAAGGAGCCCTCTCCGGAAAGGGGGACTCCTCTATACGGCGATTAGACCCCTGAGGGTATGGTAACAGTCCCGCGGGCTGGGAGTGACCCCATAACTGGCCAAACTGGCCTGCCTGAGCCTGGGGCTGGACACCCTATCCAAAGGACCAGGATGAACCTCCACTCCCACCAGGTGGAAACCCAGCCACGTACGGGCCGAGCCCGTAACCGCTGGGTAACTGCTGGTACCCATGACCATCCGCAGGTTGGCCTGGGCGGCCCGGGATTGAGTGACCGCAGGCACCCCTACACCCCGAGCCCGGGGGAAAAGGCGACCGGAAACCGGAAGCCTGACCTTGGACCCCAAATCCCTCGGGGAAGCCCCCTGGGAAACCCTGCACCGGAAAATCTGGACTAGAGAGAAAAGCCCCAGATCCAGAGACCTGTGAGGGTAGGAACCCAGGCCCCGCACTGACACTAGGATTAGTGAACTCAGTGTCACTAATCCTCGTAGCCACTGGCAACCCTGACAAAAAGTCAGTGGCCCCTGACCCCATACCCGAAGGTACCGGTCCGACGTCAAGACGGCCCCCACCAACGACGCCACCTGGCGTGCCGAGGTCCCTGAAAGAATCAGAGACCTGTGACCGAAGTCCCTTTCCGACGGTAGCACCGCCGGCTGTCGGGAGCTACCGGCCGATGCGACCCTAGACTTCGCCGAGTCAGGGTCGGGCTGCTCCCCCCTACACCAGGACGCGCCTGGACAGGGGGAGCCACCCCCTGCTCGAGGGCGGAGCTTAGAGCGAGAACACCCCCAGCAGTGACAACCTCACCCCTCGGCTCAGGGCCGGGGGTAGAAGACCTGGATGGCTTACGTCTCTTACCGGAAGATGAGGACGAATCCCTCTTCCGGCGAGAAGTTCGCCGACTGGACAGGGGAACCTTTATAGCGGACCCGGCGTGCAAACAAAGTTCGCACGGCGCGGTCTCGCTGCAAGGCCGGCATAAGGGACAGGCATCAGGGGGGTCCTGCTCTCCATAGAAATGAGAACACCCATGTGCCGAACCACGACGCAGCCCTGAACTATCCATAATTGTTACGATAATAAATAAGCAAATAACAACAGTTATTAATACAAATAAACGTAACAAAACTAAATGGAGTGAAAAAACAAAACTCCAACAAACAAATACGAACGAAAGCAAAAGCTAACGAAACGTAAAAAAGCTAAACAAAAAATGCGGTCGAATAAATAATACGACCGAAAAATAGCGAAAGTCTGCAAAAGACTGTTAAAGTTAACGATGGGTTTAAGCAACAAGCCGATATATAAATACTCGGCTATAAACTAGACTCAAGCTATAAGGAAAAGGAAGGCACTCAGCTGGATTATAGCACGTCCGCCCGCTCCGGTAGCCATAAAGATAAGAGGAAGGGAGATAACTCTATGTTCATGACGTGAAGGCTCATGGTCGTAGGGAGAGCGGGATTTTTTAATCTTTTGTTTTTGGGATACAAAGATGGGTGTAGGTACCATATTTGCATACTAAAGTTATGGTAATTATTACTGAAATGAAAATGTGTTTTGTATTGACAGCGATCTCATGCCGAGTAACAACAGGGCAGGAGCCGTACGTTACCACAGCGTCGCAGTCTGGGATAAAGATACCCGTATAAGGCGGCCGGACGGACAGACATGGACGGCACTCACATTAAAATCAATTAAGAGAAAACTTCGACATTTGAATGTGAGAACATTTCACTTAATTCTATTGATCCTTCAGTACAGCCCTTTCAGGTGAATTTTAATATAGACTATAGTCTAGTCACAACAGCGACCACCAGAAAACGAGAATGTTATGTACATATATGCCAATATCTCCTTCAAGTGGGATTTCTCCTCAGTACTCCGTTTTCCTTTCAAAATTATTATAAAAACACAGTCATTGTTACATGTTCCGAATTGACTTCATAAACGTTAAATAAAGCACACCGATGGGCCCACCAATCCTATGCGACCAAATGTCAAATTGAGAAGATTTTTATTTCTTTAGAGCATCAATATTTTCTCTCAAAAAAAACTCATATGCTTAGCGCATAATCCTAAATGATTCTGCCTGACAGTTTAGAAATTACTAACCATAACCCTCTGCCATACTTCATGCCATGTTTCAAAGACGATTCTAAACCTTCTGAACAAGTGTTGCGTTTATTTCAGAGACAGATTGATGTGTTACGAATTGATATAGACTCGTCTGAATGGAAAGTGTTGCCGTCATTGATCAGCACAGGGTTACTAAGAGAAGTAAAGCAGCTATTTTTAGAACTTCACGGGGACGTTGATGACGGAGCTGACCAGTACCTTGAGAGACTTTTAGTTTTACGAAACCTTCACGATATTGGCTTCAGGTCGTTTTGGGCTCAAGCGAAACCGGACGATAGGGACCAATATACATCTCAGTTAACTCGAACTGTAGTAACAAAAGTTTATCAATTAAATTTGATAAATATTTATGTCGTATGATTCGTAATTTTAACTACAAAAATTGAATTATGATTTTAGAATGGGATGGTGAGAATGTGTTTTTATTCAATTATGTTATTACTGATAATCACGGTAAATGTAGATACAATACTATAAGTAATTACAGTCGAACCTCGTTATCTCGAACTCGTATTACTCGAAGACCCAGTTTAATTCAAAGTATAAGGTCGATCTCTGCCTAACTTTACACACTCATTTAATGCAATACTCCATGGTCCCGCCGAGTTCCAGACAACGAAGTTCGTCTACATTTAAAATTTTAAGTACTTAACTTATTTTCTTACTTTCTTTTCACTAATATTTACACAAATAATGGTCCATGTGTATGAAGTACATATATATGTTTGAGACTAATATGTAGTATAGATATTTAGCCGTTCAACGTCAATATTTAGTATATACAATCGTAAATGTGCTGCATAATTGTGTAGTTGTTTTTTACTTTCTTTACTTACTTTGTGTTTCTGCGTCTTCAATTTATCTGTGAATCTTGTCTTATCAAAGCTTTATTTTCCTCCTAAGATTTTTGTTTATTAATGCCACTGAAAATATAATAAAATAGATGTTGAAAGAATTTCTGGATTACTTTCTTCTTTCTCTGTAGTCCGTGATGGTGTTTATGGCTCATATCGAGAGGACGTGGTCTTCTTTTACAAAACTATATCTGCTGAATGCTTTCGGGTTTTTCCGGTGTCTGTATGTTATGTCCTTTTTGGACATGGTTTTCAATTTTTTTGTTTCCTAAATCATATATTGACTACTGTCTGTCTGAAAAGACAGGAACTCTAATTCCATCTCTAGTCGCGTAAATATTCTTTAGTCAGATGTTGGTACAACCAAAGTAGATCGTTTCTGGCCCAAAGGTAATCGCTGCAGGAAATGGTATTCGTATAATCAGTATCATGGGAATGGTAATAACGTTGAACCTGATGATGAACAGTAGCGATCTTTCTCTATTTCTGCTAGTAGTCGTCTTTTTCATGGCTTCTCTACGTCTGATGACCTGGAATGTGACCGGTATCATGTCGTCAGCCTCCTACCTTCATGATGCCCTGCAGAAGCAAGATGTCGACATCTGTGGAATCTCCAAACACTGGTTATTTGACGAAAATGCTCACTTACTTAACAGTATGCACCAGACTACCCGTATTTCGCAGTTTGTGACTTCTCGACGCATGCTCTATCTGATCGTAAAACGAGAAAGGGTGGTGTTGCCTTTGTGTGGAAAAAGAACATCTCGAGTCGTATGACTGTCGTTGACTCAGATGACGATCATATCGTTATCTTGAAGCTGGTCTCTAATTCTAGAGTTTGGCATCTAAAACAAGTGTATCTACCTTACACGAGCTACGGTTCAGATATTTTTAACGGCTACGTTGACAAGTTAGACTCTTTGTGTGCCTCGTTTTCCCTACAAGGTTCTGTCATCATCATGGGAGATTTTAACGCTCGCCTCAGTGGCCCTCGCATACCAAACTATCAAAATTATCGAGGTCTCCGTCTCCAACGATGTTTAGACCGATATCAGTTGAGTGCTCTGACTTCTTCCTCCATTTCCTCTGGACCGTTATATACACATGTACACTCTGATGACGGCATTTCATCTCTTGTTGATCATGTGATAATCGATTCACCAAAAACTGACCTCATATCAAACTGTTATATCGGCGACTAAAATTACTTGGACGTCTCCAGTCACAGATCAATCTTCTGTGATGTTCTTTTTCCCACCGCATCGTCCGTAAAATCTCCTCAGATTGAACGCAATGTTTTCAAGTGGCCCTCTGATGGCACTTCTTCAGGTACTGAAGTCTATCGCGATAATCTTCATCATAACGCAGACCAATCGCATCAGTCTTCAGTTATACACTATCTTAGACATCGACAGTTATACAGACCTATTGACTAAAGGTATTTAGGACATATCCTTATCGTCTCTCCAAAAGAGGGAGTTAAGAAATTCTTGAAACCCTATTGGAAAGGAGCTGAAGGAGTTACATCGCGATATGTGGCGATTGAGGTGTATTTGGGATGACGAAGGTCGTCCTCGTGATCCTAACTCTCACTCCTTTTGCTTATACAAGGACGCGAAACGTAAGTTCCGGCGTAAATACCGCCAGTTATCAGAGAACCATCTTACTACTCTGAATTCCGATATTGAAGTAGCGGCGGGTATGAATCAAAAGTAGTTTTGGTCTCTGGTGAAATCTCGTGCTAGTGTTGGATCTCGTGGTTCAGCGGGAGCTGAAGTTATTTTTGGGAACCAGACTGCCAGAGACTCTGCTGCTTTAGCGTTGCACTGGGGGGAGTATTTCTCCGGTATTTACTCCCACTATACTGACCGCTTCTTTGACAATGACTTTAAGTCATCTGTCGAATTCGAGTTGGCAGAATTCCTACGCCATGATGCTCCAGCAACACGCTCTTCCGAAATAACTTTTACAGTGGATGAAGTTAACCTTACCTGTAAAAGCTTCCTCTTGGAAAAGCTCCTGGCATTGACTCCATTGTATACGAACACCTAATGTATGTTTGCCATTCACTTTATCTATGTCTTTGTACATAATTTAATGCTTTCATAAGGTTTGAATATGTACCTGTGTCACTCAAACATGGTTTGATTTGCACGTTATATAAAGGTCATGATAAGCCAAAGAATAACCCAAATAGCTACAAAGCGAATTCTTTTCTACCCATTATTCTAAAAGTGTAAGAAAAACTACTCTTGATAAGATTAGAGTCTATGAACCTTTTTCATGTAAATTCATTACAGCATGGTTTTCAAAAACAAGCTAGTAGCTCTATGACTTCATACATCGTGCAAGAAACAATCGCGTACGCTTCTGAACATGATAGGAAATTGTTCACTTGTTTTTTAGACGCGTCTAAAGCCTTTGATTGTGTTTTTTTTAAACTATCACGTTTGGGTTTTGACAGAAAAAGTGTTAGTATGATTATGTCTTTACACAAGGATATGTATAGTGTTGTTGTGCTGCCTTTGCTGTGGTAGTTATCGCCCTTGATTGAACTCTTTTATATTGTCTCGCGCTAAATCACAATCGTCTGCTTTGATTTTGTGCTCCACAAAAATGTGCTTTAAATATTGTTTGAGCATTTACCCAGGCTCACAGTGTAAGTATTTTGTCTCCCAATATCGCCATATCATTGTCGCTTACCAAATGTTTCATAGTAAGTTTGTAAATTTGCTTATTAGTGAACTTTGAGAAAGAGTTTAAGCCGGTATTTTCCACCTTCGTTTTAGGTAGCGTTAGTGATATAAATGTATAATGTTTTCAACGCGCTATTTGCGCGTTCTTGTGATTGATTTTTTAAATATATTGATTGATTAATGTGTCCTCAGATCGATACAACTTGTATTACGATCTCATAAGCGAGAATGTGATATTTTCTCTATTTTCGCATATTGTTTACCCCAAATGAATTACGTGTTAAAATCACGGTGTATGCAATTTGTGTGACTTGTAGTTTAATGAAGCTCTATTATATCGTCGCGTTATTTCGTTGATAATTTTAGATGCATCCATATTGCATTTTCTGTCAGTTAATCATTTATTTGATTATTTCCTATGACGTTAATTTCAATTCAATTCGAAAGTTATTTTGAAGGTTACACCTTCAAGAGTTTGACTATACTTTTGTAGTATTGAGTGTGTTATGTAGTTCCTACATATATTTGTGAAAAGGCGTGTAGTTTCTACATATTTTTGAGTGGTTTGTAGATTCTACATCATTATTGATTTGCAAGTCTGTGTAAAAGTAGTTCCTACATTGTTTTTTATTTTTATCTCTTTGTAGCTTTTTACCGCTCAAGTGTTCAAGTATGCTCACGCCATGTATCCATGTTACATGCTGAATAAAGATAGTACTACGTCAGCTATCAGGCTTTGCGTACTGAATAAAGATGGTTATACTTCTACTATCAGGCAGATTAGTTGTTATGTATCAAAACTTTGTGTCTGAAGTGTTCGAAATAAGCCAGGGAACACGTCAGGGCAGTATTATCTCCCCTTGGTTCTACTCTGCTTATATCAACGATTTGCTGAATGATCTTAGTAGTTCTGTATACTCGCTAGCTATATCTGATGTTAATGTCACGTGCCCTACGCAAGCACATGCTATTTGTCTTCTGTCACTTACCAAACACAATTTAGATATGCTTATAGATATTTGCTGCAAGTATAGTTGTAAATGGAGATTTAAATATAATGCCTCCAAATCAGTAGTTGTTGTCTTTAACGAAAGTAGTTATGTTCGGTCACAATCGTATCGTACTTGGTATCTAGGTGACAATGTTGTTAATCAAAGCACGTGGGTATTAATTTGAATATCTAAACCAAGTCGGCCTGATGTCGACGATGTTATCCACAAACTACGAGGTCAGTGTTTTGCTCTACTGAATTGTTATTTATTTGGTCCCAGTATCAATCCCTTGACTGGAGTCCATCTGTATTTGTCTTTTGTACTCCCTAGAGGTATGTTTGGTTGTGATCTCTGGAACTCTCTCTCCAACTCTGATTGGCGTCGCCTGGAATCAGCAATTTATGTGCAAAATAATGCAAAATTTCCCACTTCGTACTAGGTCTGATGTAGCATTGGGAATGTTAGGTTTATCTTCTATACATCTTTACGTAGAGCAATGTAAGCTTCGTTTTTTTCGGGGCTTTGTGTAATATCAAAACAACTTGTACTTCAAAGCAACTCTTTTTGTTGCGTTTACACCAAAAACATCTTGGGGTAAATAACGCTAAGAAAGGTTTCATCAACAACATTTGGGATGCTTTACACAAATACAACTTCCGAGACATCTTACTTGATTTTCTTAATTCTGGGAAATTTCCATTGAGACTTAGTTGGAAATATCTTGTAAAAAATGTCCTTCTGTGTAAAGAATCTGACGACTGGCGTTTACGTACAAACAGTTCATTAGAATTTCATAGATTCAAAATTCTTCATCCTGA